TGCATCATCGTCATGAGGCAAGGCTAGGTTCCTTTATCTAGTTGAGGAATAATCAAGACCCGGTGCATGGACAATTGTGAGATCTTTTTAATTGTTTAGCGCTGTCTTAAATTCTACATTTGTGGGTATTTAATTATTCCTTGTTTTAATAGGTTATTATTGTTTGGATCTATTGGATTAATGTGCCCAGTTATTCAATTGTTTGAATGGTATACTGCCAATTAAGACGGTGGTGCGTATCACTTGCTCGTCTTAAAATTAGTGCCAAACGGCACAATTTAATTGCCTCGCAAGTAATTTAATTTGTGTCGTAGGAATAGTTAATCTAGTTTAAATGAACCCGCATGTGTGTTTGTTAACTAGAATTGGGTATTTCTAATTCCTAAAGTTATAAATAGATTAAATCTTACGAGATTCTCTGGAGTTATCTATTTTACAAAGGAGTAATTTAAGAGCATCTCTGGACTACCATATAACTAAGGAGAGATTGGTAGTTTGGCGGTTGCTGAATTGTTAGAACCAATTTACTTACGAACGTGTGAATTATTCCAGGTATCCATGATCAATTGCGTGAGTCGGTGCCGAAATTATTTCCTTGAGTAGCTTGTGTCAATTAATTGTTTATTATATCCTTTAGCTACTGCACTATTTACGAAGTGGAAATTCAGTATCCTTACATCTTTAATTTGTTCTTTATATGTCCCTTCCTAAAGCCCCCCAAATTATCTGTGTAATAAATCTGCCAGTTCCTGAAGAGACGACCCTACTCACTACTATACTCATTTAGTTTTGAGAGTATGTATTGATATAAATTTTATTTTTGGTAGTTTGACAACCACCAACCAACAACTCATTTGTTGATTGTTTAGTCTTTCTTATATTATAATAAACTTTTATTCTTATTTTATTTCTTCAAAACAAAATTTATTTGGAATCTTTTAATAAATTTTATTACTCCCCAAACTCTATAAATTATGAAATGGATTTAAAAAATAACATATCACACAATTCATTTTAATATCGTTCCTAATAATTTTTTGCACTTCAAATTCATAAATAAAGTAGATAATTACACTTAGATAAAATTTTATACTTGAAATTTGATGGGTTACTACTTGAATTTAGGTTTTGTTAATTCTTATAAGAATTAATGATTCTATAATAAATTAGACTAATTAAGCATTTACTATGGCACAATTTTTTTTATAGTTTTAATCATATCAAAAATTATGAAATATAATATTTAAATATATTTAGTGACCCGTCAGTTGAACCACTCACCTACTGGTTGAACCAGTAACCCGTTCATCCATCTTTTTTACCGGCTTCCTCTCTGGCTGGATTTAATAACTATGCTCTAGATACATTTGTTATTTTTGATAAATCACAATCTAAATTTATTTTCTTCAGAGGAGAGAATGAGACACTTATGTCCTATGGTTTTTTCTTACATTCTTGTTTAAAATTTGCTTCTTACATTCTGAAGTGCATCAAACAAAAGAATATATTTGTAACACTTCAATTGAGTGATTTTCTTCCCTCCTCAATATTTGTGTATCAACAACCCCTTTTTCCGTTGATTTAAAAGCTATTGGAGGAGCCAAAAGTCGAGCAAATTCTGACATAGGTACAGAAAAGAGGGAATAAATGCAATTTCATCCCCAGTGTTTGGCGTGCAGTATCAATTTAGTTCTTAATATTTTGACCAAATAAATATAGTTCCCTAAAGTTTGTGATAAAAAATTTAGGACAATTTATTGCAAATCACATTAATTAGCTAACCATCAAAATAAAATTGGCATTAGTCAAAAGTTTTGACTTTATATTTTGGGTCCTTAACATTTGAGTTTCAATCAATGTAGCCCCTTAGGTTTCAAATATTTATTATTTTTATGGTTTGAACATGAATTGATACAGTATTTTGGCTTATTGGTCTAATATCAACCAGACCACTTGCCAAACCTCTAGTGCACTTGGTTCAACACTAGCCAAACTTTTTTGGCATTTTGATTCACCACCAAGAAGAAAATTTTACCAGTCCAACTGTGAGAAGAATCCATTCACCAATAAGTATTTTAGTCTCTTAACTAGAAGCACTGATTACACTTGTTACGGAAAAAACTTGAGAAAATCTACCAAAGAAGTCTAATATATAAGTCAGGAATCTAATTTTGATCCAAAGGTTTAAACTATCAGGTCATAGGCCCTTATTTACATATTAACCACCATTTTTTCATTTTTCAAATCAATGTAGCATACAATTCTTGTAAGGCCCAAAGACAACCTAAGAGGGGGGGTGAATTACTTTGTAATCACTTTGATAATGCTAAAATGTTAACCTATTTTCGAAACAAATTTTCTGCCCCTGCTGATGCGAAATTAAATGACGTTGCTCCTGTGAATCTTATTGCTTTCTCAATTATTTCAAATCTGCTTGTGCCTACTGACGGTCATAGAATAGATGCAAATAAAATGGAGCTGTATCTGTTTTATTGTTTTCGAGAAAAAATTCGCATTGACTTTGGCTTTGTCATGTGCAAGTTTTTATTTCGCTATACCACTGATTCTCGTAGAAAACTGTCCTATGGAAAATTCCTTCAAAAGGTTTTTGAATTTTACAAAGTACCTATCCTTGGTGTTTGTCCCAAAGATACATTTTCCTTTGCCTTCACTAAGGCTTATTTTGAGCGAAAAAATCTTGTCTTTAGGGATAATTTGTGGGCGTATAAGGGGGCCACTTCTAATGAACCTAGATTTAAGGCTGCACATGATCCACTTCACACTCCATCCTCTGTTGCACCAACCTCTATTCATCCTAGGAAGACTGCCACTAAGGCATCTTCTTCTTCAAATTCTGAGGTGGTTGAGTTCCTTCGAGACCTTAAGCAACATGTTTTGCTTCTTGAACATGGTCTCATGCTCACCATGTCATCCCAGTAGCAGGCTGACTTCCTAGATAAAAAGAGTCTTCTTTTTCCTCCACCTATGGTTGAGGAAGTCCCTCCTGGCAAGGAGCCACGCTCCAATGATCCAAGTTCATCAGCCCCTGTTCGCTCAATGAGTCCTGCTCCTATCGACCTCACCTCTACTCCAGTGGTACCACATGATCCTTCCACATCTGATAAAGGCAAGAAACCAGTTGATGAAGTTGCTGAAGATGATGAAGACACTGAGGAGGAGGATCTCTCTCAGTATCAGCTTACTCGAAGGACGCCTGGATCCTCTTAGCTTATCATCTAGGATCACTAGTCCTATTAGGATCATTTGCATTCTGTTTGACTGTTTTTATTTGCTGAATGTTAGATAGTTGCCTCGAACTTTTTTGAATTCTGGTGCTTGGTGTCATTTGGTGCTCTTAATGTCCAAAATTGGACATATGTTTGTAATGTTTGTGAATGATTGAATCTTTACATTTTGTTTGTGAATGGCTGTGAATAACTGTGTAAGATCATTTTGCTCTGAATGGTTGGATATATTACATTTTGAATTTTGTGATGACAAAAAGGGGGAGAAATGGTGTAGATATGAATACGGATAATATGGATAATAAGTAGCCAAGTGAGGGGAAGCAATTTTTTGTTGTTGTTGTTGTTGTTCTTCAATTGAGCGAGAAAAGGGGAGCCTATTTGAAGTCATCAAATTTCATTTCAAACTTTTGTTTTGTCATCATCAAAAAGGGGGAGAATGTTATTCTTGATTTTGATGATCACAAAAGCACTTTGAAATGTTTATCTAATTCTCTCCAAACATAAAAGTTTTGCTTTTTAAAGAATCAGGTACAAAGGAATCAAGGATGGAAAATCAACCAAAAGAAGAAGCAAAAACAGGGTACTCATACCGGACGTTCAAAAGGAATCTGTCGGACGTGCGAAAGGATGAAGAACATCAAGAAGGAAACTCTGTCGGACGCTTGTAAGGAAGCATCGGACGTCCAAAAGGATCGGACGTATGCTTCGGACGCACATCGATCTCATCGGACGTCCTAAAAATTCCGTAAAGTGTTGATGGCTCTTTGTCGACGATCGGGCGCTGATGCTGTCGGACGATAATATCCCATAGGACGTCCGAACGACAACTTGGCTGATTTTCGGACGATGGGATCGGACGATGATTAATCTTTCGGACGTCCGACGGGCCCAACGGCTAGCTGACTCTTCATCTGCCTACTATCTGTTGGAAGTATTATTGAAGCCAATTTTTGGTCCCCTTTAAATACAAACGTTTCTGAACCAGTGAGGGAATTTTGCACACTTTGTTTACAAGATCTCAAGAGATATTTGAGTTAGAAAATAGTCTCCCAAGCAAGATTTGTTCTCCAAGTGGTGTGAATTTCTAGTAAGCACTTCTCTTGTGTTTGAAATTTTCAATAGTGTAACTTTGTTGAGGGTTATCTGAGTGATAGTAAAACTTCCTAGCTTGACTAAGTGAGGCTTGGGGCAAGGAGGAAGTGATCCCTCCATTGTACATTGAGTTGATTTTGTTCTTCAAAGAGAAGGTGCTCATCTTTGTGATTGGTCTTCAAGTTTGAGAAAAGCTTGGTAGACAATCGGTTTGATACTCTATCTTATTCTTTTTGTTTAATAAAATTCTCATTACTTATATACTCTGTTATTTCTGATCAACATTGTTCTCTTCTTTAAATTTACTTGGTTGATCACTACTAGAAAAGAAGGTAAATTTTTATTAAAGAAAAAGTGCATAAACTCAATTAAGGTTTTTAATCAACCTAAGTCACCCCCCTCTTAGGTTGTCTTTGAGCCTTACAATTCTTTAATTATAAACCTAACAAGACAAACATGGGATTCATGGACCACTATCCAGAAATCTGTGAGTCTTTTCATTGGACATATCCTGTGAAATAAGTTGCAATCGATACAGTATTTTCAAATTAGACCTTCTTTTAAGTTACATGAGCATTAGCGGAACTGATTGTGGCTCCCTGCAGCATTCTCTCTGAAAACAAAAAAAAATTTGGGGATTGAAGCAATACTAGATAGAAAATGGAAAGAAATGAGAGTACTAAAATCCTCATCTTTGAGCGGACTGGATATATTAGTAGCTACATGGTGAAGGCAAGCACAAATTTGGGATATCCAACTTATGTCTATTCCAGGCCTACCTCCCCCAACATAGATTTGCTTAATGAGTTCCATTCTTCGGGTGTCACAATATTCAAGGTAATATTCTTTTACTTGATAGATTTGCATGCTTTCTTTGTTAACAAGGGACGAGGAAGGTTGAAGTGGTTCAAGTGGAGAACAACAATCGGATTTGGGTAAACTGAATCCTGTATCTAGGATGAGGAAACTAAAGGGGAATTCCACTTTATGTTGTTTGCATCACATGCAACTGTAGATTATGCATATCGTCGGGTACTACGTACGTAATGGGAATTTTGACTTTCACTAGTGTGATTCTCTCATCACATTCCTATTAATATGATCTAGGCTTGTGCAAACCTAGAATAGGATTTTCCCATCATAGTGGGACTAATCTCTCAAGATATGCATTTTATGCACCCGCCAAACTCAATTATCTATAGAATTAACCTTCTAAAAGTAAATCGAACATTATCACAATTGACTTAATATAGAAGGGTACTATCTGAAATTGTCAGAAACTCAAGTTTTTGGAATTATCCCTATCATTTTTGTGTGGGTAAAATATACTTTATTCCTTGTAATTTAGTGCTTTTTTCACATGACCTCCTGTGGTTTCAAAAACTATATATGACCCCCTCTTTATTTGGACTAAAATGTCAAAGTGATGAAATTTGCATTCCATAACGGAGTCAACTAAAATATCAAAAGTACCTCTATGTAAAGTTTGAAATTATTTATTAACCACTTGGGGATTATGTATATATTTTGAAAATCATAAGGGGATTATATGGTAAGCACTAAACCATAAGGGGGTTGTGTGGTAAAATACAAATCATAAGGCGTTAAAGTGTCATACAAATTATGTTTATATATTTTGATCATTTTAACCGTTTTAGTTTTTAAATAAGAGTATTCTCAACATTTCTGTGGGTTCCATTATAAAGGATCATTTCCATCATGTTGCCATTTTTAAATCACGAGAGAGTTATGCATAGATTTTGAAACTATAGAGGGTTTATGTCAGAAATTGCTTAATCACAGGAGGTAAAGTGTATTTTACCCTTTTTGTTATACAATCAAAATGGTAACTGTAACAATATCATTTGCATCGAAGTATATATCTCTTCTCTGATAGATATGCGTATACTCTATACAGTATACAGACAAACCATAGCGGGAGAGTATGACTTCAATTTTGCATTACTGTTGAAGGGTGCAATGGATGAGCATGAGAAACTAGTGTTGGTTCTTAAAGAAGTTGATATTGTGATTTCTGCATTAGCATGCCCTCAAGTTCTTGACCAATTGAAAATTATTGAGGCCATCAAAGTTGCTGGTAACATAAAGGTAACGTCAGTTTCTCATTTCATCTATGGCTACGAGCACATCACTACTTGTCTCACGCACAAGGTATGTACGTGTCTCATGTAATCGATGCCTACCGAAACTTCTCAGACACACACATAGGTAAATATGTATGCTTATCTCTGTCTATTTAACTTGTTTGAATGTAGAGGCATCAAATTATGGTCAATTTCTTCACAATATTTGGATTGCATTTTTTGTAGATAATTTTTTTGGATTTTCACGAGAATATTCGTTTCACACATTTTCTAATCATTTATTTTACTTTACATATATCACACTTAAAAAAAGTTCTAAAGTGTTTATTATTATTGTTATTATTGTTTTTTGTTTTACAAAAGCTCCCAAATTATTGCAATCCAAATGGGCTCAAGAAACTAGACCTTAATGGTTTCCTGTGGTCAGAGGTTTCTACCGTCAGATTTTGGATGTGAAGAAGATAGAGTAACTATGCTGCCTTCCTTTCAAGAATTTCTAAATAAGAAGAAGAAGATAAGGAGAGCCACTGAAGCAGAAGGGATCCCATATACGTTTGTGTCTGCAAATTGCTTTAGAGCATATTTTGTCAATTACTTGCTTCGTCCACATGACCACGAGAAGGAGGACATAACCGTGTATGGCAGTGGGGAGGCCAAGGGTACTGTTCTTCTTATTGTTTTTCTAACATTCCCTTTTTTGACTGAAAGTAGTGCACACCTTTAAGATTTGACTGAAAGTACAACGATTTGAATCCCTAAACCTGTAGTCAGTATTGCATTCCATACTTTGCCTGCTTGCCAACTTATTCAAGAAGAATTGATTAAGAGAGTGTATGAGAAGGCCATGTGTAAAGTTGTTTTAAAAAAAGAGTAAATTACTAATAGCCTCCCTTGGTTTCATTTATTGTCACGAAACTTTTCTAACATTTCAAAATATCTACTTCACTCTTTTATGATTTTATGTAAATTGAAAATTTAACCGAAAATAACTTATGTAATGTCATTAGTTGAAATGCTAGTAGTGCACTTATTTAAATGCTAAATCAAATGACGACTTAATTAACTTGTACAAAATCATTGGGAGATTATGTGAATAGATAAAAAAACTACATTAGGTGAAGTGAATATTTGTGCAAACCATAGGAGGTTAAGTGGATATTATGATTTCATTACATGCACTTTTAGAACATATGTGGTGTAATCACCATAACTGATTATGCATTCCATCCATTTTTCACTTTATATAAAGGGATAATATCAGAAACCTCCCCTGAGGTTTCTTCAAATATCACTTAGCTCCCCTCACATTTTAGAAATCTCTCTTACCACCCTTTGAATTGACATTTTCTTAACAATGTCAGCCCCTGGTGTCTAAAGTAACATTAGAATATTGGTTTTGGAGGAGGGAGAGTATTTTAATTCCCTTCATACCCTTAGTTTGACTGAATCCTGTGATTAAGAAAGTTGCAGTAGGTGGAATGTGAATTGGAGATAAATTTTCTGGTATGAGCACTGTTGCATGGCCATTGGACATGCAACGGCTAATTTGACTTTGCTTCCAGTGGTATTAAAAGGTGAGGGAACTGCATGAAGTAGCTGCAAAACTTAAAGAGGAAAGCAAGCAAAGAAATGGCTAGTTCATCCTTCCAAGGTCAGTCATACAATTCACCTTCATCATTAAGCATGAAGAACCGGTATTGCAAATGCAACCGGAAGGCTATATTACGAATCTCAGAGAGTGAAAGAAATCTGGATAAGCTATATTTTAGTTGTTCAAAGTGCAACTACTTCTAGTGGTATGAAGGAAATGAAGGTGAAGAGTTGCAGAGGCAAAGAAATGAAGGTGAAGAAGTGCAGCGTACAAGAAATGGTGCTGATTCTGCAGTGCTTCCATTGAGGAAAGCAAACCAGGAATGTAACTTTGTGCCTCAACATAATGCATGCATCACTTTCTTGTTCATCATCAATCTTGTACTCTTAGCAATTTATCTTTTCATTCAAATTGTTAAAGCAATCACAGTTTCTTGTTCCAGTAATAGTAGATGTGTTCCAAGCTGTTTGGCCCTTACTGGTCATGCATGAAAGAACCAGAAGGCATGTGTAACTTGGACATGGTGTTAAGCTATGTGAAAAAGAGTTGAAGGAATGTTTTACTTCATACGTATGCCCCCATATTTGTTGCCTATCAGTGTTATACCAAAGTTAAGCTAGACAGAAAATGCATTAAGCTATCAGGTGTAGTTCCTTAGGTACAACAATACTCCCCAGCTAAGTTCATTGGAAAACAACAGTTCTAGTTTCACACATAATCCTAAGGAATCGGAGTCATAAAGTTAAACGAAAAAACACAGCATGACATCTTTGCAAGAGCATGGGACTGGGAAGCAGCAGAGCATACTTGGCAAGAGTAAATTGCAATTTCCAAACATAAGTACCAAAACATCAGTCTTTGAAGTTGTTCACTAGGACTGGGAATGCAATTAATCACTTGGCATACATTACATATACAACTAAACAAAAATATGTAGCAATCAACAAGAATCTCATTTGCAACATCATCTAAGAACATCATTCTAGATGATGAGGATTGCTACGTATACAAATGTACCAGATTAGCTTCCCAAAGCAAAACTCATAATACTAGCACTAACTAGAACCTCGTACTGGTGTTGCTATTGTCAATGTGAGATCCCATACCAGCAGAAGTGGATATTGAAGATGCAGTAACTGCTAGAGTTTGTTCTGAGTCAACAACAATGGAAGGTCTGGCTCTCTTATTGTTGTTAGCAACAGTAGTCCTCTTAGTTCCTGCATTTGGCCCTCCTCTCTGAAGCCATGCAACAAATCTTATTAAACTAATGGCTGGTCGACAGTTAGAATAGTTAGCAGGCAGAATGATTAACTATACCTTTCTGGTATTAGTACTAGTGCAGGCAGAATGATTAAGTTGAACATGAGCTCCAGCAACACGATTTTGAGTGCTTCCATTACTGCCTTGACTTGATACAATGACTGAGACATTTCCTTGTGCATGTTCCTGACAAATCATATCACAAAGCTAAGCTCATTTGAACAGAATTAATACACAATCAGATACTATAATTTGACATTGCTTCAATTACCCATAGAACAGATCCTGCTAATCCAGTATCAGCAATGCCTCTTCCTGGTTTTCCTCTTCGACTTGCTGCCTGATTTGTAGAAGTACTGCTCCCTCTTTTTTCAGCAACAGGAGCTCCTTGACAAGTTCTCCTATTATGTCCAAATCTACCACACTTTGAGCACCTGAAACTGATTGATCTCTTGTGTTGAGGTGCAGGAGCTCCTTCATCAGCTGCTTTTCTCCTATTTCTTCTTGGTCTACCAGCTCTTCTTCTAAGTGGTGGTGGCAAAACTACTACTGGTGTCACATCTTCCATTGGAGGCCACCTATTCATATGTGGAATTGGATTGATCATGAATGCATATGTTTTCAAGTATTGATCAATGGAAAAGGCTGCATCACAGTAGCTTTCCAGTTTCTCCCTTCTATAAAGAGCTCCTAGTGCAGAATGCTTGCAAGGAATGCCTGTCACCTGGAAAGCCCCGCATTCACATGTCCTCTCAGTCAACTTGACTATATAGGACTTATCATAGTCTGCTACTTCAAACGTGTTGTCACTTGCCATTATCAGTGAACACCTTTTTAATTCAGCTACAATATCTTTCAGCTTGCCAATCACATGTGGAGTAACACTAGATGTCCATGTGCAGCCTTTTTGATACCTCTTATGCAGTTTTTTCATGATTTTTTGCCTCAGTCCTTCAGCTAGAGCAAGTATATTCTTTCATCTCAATTTTCCAACCCATGCATTAAAAGATTCTGTGAAATTATTGGTGACATGATCATACTTAATTTCAACAGAAAATGCATGCCTTGCCCAATTACACTTAGAAATGTTTGCTAAGTATCTCCAAGCATCTATATTAATATTTTTTATTCTTTCCATAGCCTCATTGTGTCCTATCAAATCATAACTTTTAGCTGCTTGCCAAAAATATCTCCTCAGCAGCAATCCTGGAAATTTGACTTTGAAGTTACAGTAGATGTGCCAACAGCTATATCGTGCAGCAGCTTCAGGCACTTGTTCCTCATAAACAAGGTTGAGTCCCTATAAAATATAAGTACAAGGTCATCAGTCCCTATATAGAAGTTTCAGTAGCTCTTTCCTTCAGGCACTTGATTCAGCCACTATAACAGTCATGGAGGAAATCTGAAACATACTTAATCACAGAAATGAAGAAACATACCTTCTATCTATCACTCATGAAGGTGAGTGGAATATTGGCTGGAAATGGTCCAAAGAATTCCTGGAAATAGCAAAAAAACCAACTCCAGGCTTCCTTGTTTTCACACTCTACCACAGCAAAAGCTAATGGAAACAAACTATTGTTCCCATCAAGAACAACAGCAGTCAACAGAATGCCCCCAAATGCAGCTTTCAAATGGCAGCCATCAAAGCCAATAAATGGCCTGCAACCTACCAGGAAACCATCTCTTTGTGCCTTGAAAGAGATAAACAATCTCAGAAATTTAGGCTCTACCAGAACGTTTGGCCTATCATAGTGAATTTTCATGATGCTTCTTGGGTTGTGCATCCTCAACAGTTCAGCATATTTTGGTAATTTTCCATAGGCCTCACTGTGTGATCCTTCTATCTGTTCTAAGGTTTTTTTTTTTTTGTCCTGTAAATTTGCATTCTACTTGGCAAGACTCCATGCTTCTGCATTTCAGCCTTTACTCCCTTGCTTGTCAATTCCGGGTGATCTCTCATAACAGAAATTAACTTCTTTGCAATCCAATCTGATGTAGCTTGTGAATTTTTCCTATTCATGACACACGTATGCTCAGGTGTATATGTCTTAACCATGAATGTAGTTGTATCACCAACCGGGGATGCATGAATCCTCCATTTACACCCCTTAGCACCACACTTGGCAGTGCACCTGCTCTTTTCATTTTTCAACCTCACCAATGGAAATCCTTTCTGAATAGCATAGTCCTTCAATACTGCTCTAAATTCATCCACATTGGTAAATAGCATCCATTTCTCAAACTCAATGTCCTCTCTTGGATTGTAAGTCCACATTTTTGACTGCATAATTGCTCTCATAGGATCAGTCTCTTGGTCAGATTCTGAATCAGGCACAACTTGTGCATCCTCAATCTCCTCATTATCAGACAAGTCATTTTCGTCCTTATCACTACTAGAAATTAAGGCCCTATCTTCAGCTATGACATCTTCCAAATCACTATCTATGTCATCCTTCCAAGAGTCATCAGAACTAGAAGTATAAATCTCATCATCACCCTCACTGTCAACTACAGGAATAGGAGCATTTTCAATTCCTATGTCTTTCTGTGCCACAATAAGTTGGTTATTCCTGTCCTCTACCATATTCTCCTCTTTGGTACAACAAAGCCGGGCCAAAGGCCCTTAACAAGATATGATTCTAGGGGTGGTGGTAACCCCTATGATCTCCGATCCTAAGAGATCTTTCAGTGCTTCAGGGGGGTTTAGGAAACGACCTGGTCCTGGTTGTTTATGGGTTCCTTCCTTCGCTAACCAGTCCGCACACTTGTTGCTCTCTCTCCAAGCATGAGTACCCTTTTTTTTATTCGTTTTAAATGTATTGGTAATTCTTGCACTTAAGTAAATCTTGATCATAAGATCCCTTCCTCAAAAAAAAAAAAAAGGAAAAAAGAAAGAAAATCCCGTCCTCCGTTCTCTAACCTGTTTGACAAATGATATTGCACAACTCCGATTTTGATGTCTGTGCAATTTCTATAAAAATGAGGGTTCCCTTTCAAGTCCAAACGCCATCTTGACTTGAGAAGGATAAAGTCAACAACTCTTTTAAAAGGAATAATTTTAGAAACCTCCCATAAGGTTTTAGACAGTTACACTTGACACCCCTAAACTTTAAAAAATCTCACTTGCCTCCCTTATTTTAAGCTTTTTGTATCATTTAAAACCTATTTTAAAATATAATATTAAAAGAATTCATTTTGGGAGAGCAAATATAATTTCATTCTAAATTTGCCCTTTTATTATTTTACTTTTATTACAAACACATGAGTATATTAATAATAAATGAAAAAAAAACAAAAAGTATGAAGGTTTATTCTAATTGGACAAAATATACCGTGTTTTTTTTAAATAAAAAGAGTTAAAATTTGAAAGTTTATTTGAAGATTTTGTAGATCACAAAGATAATATTTTCGCTACTGTAATGAATTTTAAGTTAATTTAAGAAGTTCTATAAATCGTTTAAATATTTTTGAATTTTCTATTTTTTTGTTCAAATCATTGGCTTGAAAACTAAAAAAAAAAAAAATACATGCTAAAATTTATATAAACTTTATTGTATTGTTTTTAAGCTAGTGCCAAAAGATGTTATCATGGTTGTATATTATTGCAAGTTATGTTTAAGAGTATTATAAATCATTCATAATTTTGAGTACTTTAACATTTCTTATCCAAACCAATGACACAAAAACTATTAAAGAGTTTTTCGATCTTGTTAATAACTTTTAAATTTTCATTAAAGAACTACATTGATCAATTTACAAAAAATAAGAGGTAAATTTGATATGTAATGGCATTTAAGAAGTCACAAAAGAGTGGCAAATTTGGAATGAAATTGTATTCTTTCTTTCAAAATGAATTTTTTAATATTATAATTTGAAATGGGTTTTAAATGTTACAAAAAGTTTAAATTAGAGGAGATAGATGGGATTTTTTGAAAGTTTAAAATTATTAAAACCCTCAAGGGAGGTTTTTGAAATTATCCCCTCTAAAAATCATGGTAACATTAGATATCGAGTGTATGCATCAACATCAGCCAACTATTCAAAGCAGATAAAGTGGCATATAAAATGATTTCTTATTCCTTAATCTAGCGTGTGACAGTGGGCTTATGGTGTGTTTGGATATCTCCTTATCTCAAATAATATTTCGTTTGCATCATAAACACATTTTCCAACCCACTTTTTTACATTTCCAACCCACCTTTTTATCTCACATATATCATATCATAAA